CCCCCGGCGGGGCCCGGGGTGGGGCGGGGGTCTCCCCGGTGCTGCGGGCCGCCCCCTGCGGACACCGGGGGGTCCCAGGGCGGGCCGGGGCTCAGCCCGCCGCTCTCTGGCAGGAGGCCTACGTGGAGTACCTGAGGAGCATCGCCTTCATCGCCCAGGCCCTGCAGGAGGAGGCGGCAGGGACAGGTAGGGCAGGGCCCCCGGCCCGGGCCTCGCAGCCCCCCGTGCCCGATCCCCGCTCCGGCGCCTTCTCCAGGCCCGCGGGGAGGGCGGGAGCGGTGGGTGCCCCGCGGGTGAGCCTCACGCCCCGTTCCTCCCCACAGACAGGAGCGAGGGGGTCAGCCCCGACACCCCGAAGATGCTGAAGCTGGCGGAGCAGTGCCTGGAGAGAGTCAAGTCCATTGCGGCGGCGCTGGGTGAGCGAGCGAGGGGTTGCGAGGTCCCGCTGGGTCCCCACCCCGGGGCCAGGCTGGTGGCAGGGGGGCAGCCGACCTGTCCTTCCCTCCCCAGGGAAAGCCCAGGCCAAACCGGCTGCACCGGAGCGGAGCGGGGGTCCTGCTCCCCTCCCCAGGCACCGCCGGGTCTTCTCGGATGAGGGGGGGAAGCTCTCTCCCTTCCTGCCGCCGGAGATCTTCCAGAAGCTACAGATCACCGAGGCACAGAGCGCGCGGAAGTACGTGGGCTCAGACACGGGGGGCTGGCGTCTGCCCCGCTCTGCCGGGGTCCCCGCGGCAGGGAAGGGGCCCCGGGTCGTGGCACCGTGCTGTGGCACCGTGCCCTGCGGTGGGTGCTGAGGGCTGGTTCCCGGCAGGGAGCTGACGCCGCTGGAGGAGGCGTCTCTGCAGAACCAGAAGCTGAAGGCTGCCTACGAGGCACGGGTGGCGCGGCTGAACCCCAGCCAGGCCCTGCAGAAGACCTCCCTGGCAAGTGGGGAACCCCCGGGGCGGTAGGCTGGGGAGGGAGGGCCGCCATCCGGCGGGCTGGGAGGGGAGAGGGTCCCTGCGGTGCCTGGGGGACCCCTTGCTCCATGCCTGCTGGCTGTGGGCTTTGGGCAGGCGTCCCCAACACGCCGCCTCCTTCACAGACGCTGTCCCTGCAGCGGCAGATGATGGAGAACTTGGTGATTGCCAAGGCCCGAGAGGAAACCGTATCCTTCCCAGCGGTGGGGAGCTCTGAGGGCTGGCCCCGTGGCCGCACCGGGCTCCGGCAGAGCCTGCGCCTCGCCCCATGCCTCCCATGCAGGCTTTTGGGGTCCCAGTCCTCTCCTGCTGCCGGCTGATCGGGGGGATGGAGGTGGGAGAAGGGCTGATCCCGGCCGCTGGGCTGCCGTGGCTGTGCCGGGGCAGCGGGTTGTGCCGGGGTGGTGGGCGAGCGGCGCTGGCTGGGTGCCGCAGTGGTGCAGGGGCTCTGGAGCCTTAACTCTGCCGTGGCCCAGCTGCAGCGGAAGATGGAGGAGCGGCGGGGGGGGGGGGGGGGGGGGGG